TTTTTCCGATACCAAACAAATATGTTTTGTTAAGTCTGTAAAATACGATTTGTAGGCCGAGATATCACAGCAGCTCCACAATACTTAATTTCAATATTCAATACATATTTAGCCAATAATTTGCTTCCTGCAATTTAGATATAGTACCAGTCGATATTGCAATTTGGTTAACATTTTGATAATATGTGCAGCCCTAGTACTCACTCTTGGAGCTTCTTATTGTACAGATGGTCCCCGATGGTGATGGTGATTTTGGCCAGCTCGTCCACCACCTTCTGCTGCAGCTCATTCTCCACCTCTGCAGTGGGTGTAGTCAGAGGAGGAACGTCCTGTGAGGGGAGGGCTTTCAGCTCCGCATTTATGACCCTGGAACAGAACAAGACATTAATGCCAAACTGTGGAGAGACTCCACAAATCAAAAAAGCTCAGGACACAATGATGGCTCCTTTTATTTTACTCAACATAATGCCGTTTTTAGGGAAGTGTAATGGTAGTGTAGCGTTTGGTAAAACATTTCTCATTTAAACCTATGGTCATGAAGGATGGGTCATGGGTCATAACCGAAAGAACGAGATGGCGAATACAAGCAGCCCAAATGGGTTTTCTCAGGAGAGGGGCTCTCCCTTAGAGATCAGGGGAGAGGTTCAGTCATCAGGGAGGGACTCTGATTAGAGCAGCTCCTTTGGTAGAAAGGAGCAGTTGAAGTGGTTTGGGTAGTAAGGATGCCACCTGACCAGAAACCAGAAAGAGGCCATATTTGTACTCTCTGTGGGCTGAATTTGACTACCACGAGTAGTGTAGTGCTCAAAGTCATAGTATATCCTATAATGCTGGTGGGTTTGTCTCTTTACTGTATATTTTAGAAAGGCTCACTGTACTTAAACAAAATGACACAGGGTGCATCTGAGATTAGAGGGGGTGCAGGGGTAAAGTGCTATTTTTATAAGTGGGGAGTGGATCAGACACAAGATTTTTTTTAATATTGAAGTTAAATGCATCAATCTGGTGCACTTTGAGAGCAAAATTAAGAGATCTATGGATACATCTCTCAACACCCATATGAAACAGAACTGTAAACAGATTTTCTATTTCTTTATGGATATTTTACAAATCACTCCCCTTTTAAACTCTATTCTTGTTTTACTGTCATATAGTTTCATTTTTAGTGAGTTATTCAGATGAGTACCAGGAGACAGCGTTTGGTACTCTGGTACAATTGTGGTGAAGGCATCTGAGTTAGATGTATTTGAACCGAAATGTCTACAGGCATGGCAGAAGATGGCATCTTTTTTACAGGAAATTCCAGCCAATCTGTTTTTAAACCATGAGCTGCAAAATAAGCACCTTACCCCACTGTACAGGCGAGTTGGGAACTTGTTTAAATATACCTGGGCAGGCTCTGGTTTGCCGAGGTCCTCTGGCACTTGCGGGCCGCTGAGGGGTGGCGGTGTTACCGTTTAACTGGTGACGCGGGGGAACTCGTGACGTTCTATAACGGTAGGAATGTGTCAGGGCGTGTACTTTGAGGAGCCATTGTCGAATAGATAGATAGATAGATAGATCGTACTTTATTGATCCCAAATTGGGAAATTGTTTTTGTTACAGCAGCATAAAAGGCATTTTACAATAAAACAAAATATACAAGAATAGAAATAAAATAAAATAAAATATAAAATATAAAATATACATGTCAAAATACAAAATAGAAAATATACATACAGATATTATATATATATATACAAATATATATATATTCAAAATATATGGAATTATGGAGTATTAAATATGAAACAGATTATGTGTGAGTAAAATGTACAACGTGGTTTTATTTCTAGAGAAGCTATGGAGCAGAGAGTTCTCTTCCAGCCAGAGGTGATTTGTTGTACAGAGTTATTGCAGTGGGCAGGAATGTTTTCCAGTATCTGTCCTTGAGACAGGGGAGCTGCAGCAGTCTGTTGGAGAAGGAGCTCCGCTGACTGTGCAGCTGCAGGTGGAGAGGATGGGTGGGGTTATCCATGATGGACAACAGCCTGTTCAGTGTCCTCCTCTCCACCACAGCTTCAAAGGGTTCCAGCTTGATGCCGATGACTGACCCAGCTTTCCTGATCAGTTTATTGATCCTGCTGGTGTCACCGGCTCTGATGCTGCCCCCCCAGCAGACCGCAGCAAAGAAGAGTGCACTAGCCACCACAGACTTATAGAAGATATCCAGCATCTTACTGCATACGTTGAAGGATCTCAGCTTCCTCAGAAAATAGAGTCGGCTCATCCCCTTCTTGTACACAGCGTCAGTGTTGATCCTCCAGTTCAGCCCATTGTCTAAGTGCACTCCCAGGTACTTGTAGACCTCCACAACTGCCACATCCTCTCCCAGAATGCACAGGGGCAGAGGAGGAGATGTCCTCTTCCTCCTGAAATCAATGACCATCTCTCTGGTCTTGGCCACATTCAAAAGCAGATGATTTCTTCCAGTCCACTCAACAAAATCACCCACCAGCGCTCTGTACTCCTCCTCCCGTCCATCCCCTATACACCCTACCACTGCAGAGTCATCCGAAAACTTCTGCAGGTGGCATGACTTTGAGTTGTATAGAAAGTCAGAGGTGTATAAGGTGAACAGGAAAGGAGACAGCACAGTCCCCTGTGGGGCTCCAATACTACCAACCACCACATCAGACAGCACACTGCCCAGCCGGACGTACTGTGGTCTGTCCGTGAGGTAGTTGGTAATCCAGGAGATGGTGGACGAGTTTACCCTCATAGCCTGCAGCTTGTCACTCAGTAGCCGAGGCTGGATCGTGTTGAATGCACTGGAGAAATCAAAAAAGGTGATTCTCACAGTGCAACCCGATCCATTCAGGTATGAGTGAGCACGCTGCAGCAGGTAAATAATGGCATCGTCCACCCCCAGGTGAGGCTGGTAGGTAAATTGCAGAGGGTCATGGAATGATCTCACCTGCGGTCTGAGATGGGCCAAGACCAGTCTCTCAAGCACCTTCATCACATGAGATGTGAGTGCTACAGGGCGATAGTCATTGAGCCCAGAAGGAGTTGTCTTTTTAGGGACCGGAACAACGCAGGATGTCTTCCACAGCACCGGGATGGTCTCCAGGTGCAGGCTCAGGTTGAATAGATACTGGAGAACAGGAGCCAGCTGGCGTGCACAGGTCCTCAGGACCCTGGGGCTGATACCATCAGGGCCAGCAGCCTTGCCTTGGTGGAGTTTTTCCATCTGACTCTGGACCTGTCCTGTGCTCACAGTGAAGCGGGGGGGGGGGGCTTGATGGCAGGGGGGATAGAGGGGGGGGGGTCTGAGGCAAGATGAGCAGAGGGGGGGGGGGGGGGGGGGGGGGGGGGGGTCAGCGGCAATGTGAGCAGAGGGGGGGTGCAGAAGCCAGGCTGGGTGGTGGAGGAGAGGTGAGAAGTGTAGGTGGTGAGCAGAGGGGGGATGTTGACGCCAGGCTGAGAGGAGGAGGTGAGGTGAGAAGTGGAGGTGGAGGAGACAGCAGCGGGCGGAGAGCTAAACCTATTGAAGAAGGTGTTCAGCTCGTTGGCCCTCTCCAGGGTGCCCACAGTCAGTCTGTCTCTCCCTTTGAAGCCAGTGATAGCCTTCATCCCAGCCCAGACATCCCTGCTATTGTTCTGCTGGAGCTTAGGCGCCGTTTACACGAGGAGAAAACTGCTTGTATCTGCATAGTTTCGCGTGCGTATAGCCCTATTATTTACACGAGGCTGATAGAAACTGACCCCACAAACGATAACGGGTCCCAAGGTGGATAGATTTGCAAACGAAACGCTCTGGGGGGTCAACCGAGTCCGTGTAATCACCTCGATACGAATATTTCCTGAAAAAATAACGATAGCCCCGCCTCTCCCCACCTCTCCTGCTCACTGCTGTAGCAACTATCAAAAATAGCTGTGTTAATTAAACGCACAAGGGGTTCTTGAATGAAATAATATTATAAAAGGCAAACCAGAATTGTTAACGCCCTTAAACAAAATAAACAGAGTCAGATTTCATGCATTGATCCATTATATTGACAAAGGAGGATCTCACCCGGTGTTTGTAGAGAATATCTCTCTCTTTCTGAGCCGTCCTCTCCACGGAGACGTGCTTCTTGGTCGGGATGCAATATCCACAGATTCGGTTTCTTTCAGTTTCTTTCAGTTTCAGTTTCAGTTTCGGGGCTTAAACAGAAGGGTAGCCATGGCAACATTGCAGCGGGGCTGCTCGGTTGCTCTTCTTCGCGGCTTTTGGTGTATTTTGGCGGAAGTTACAGCGCCACTTACAGTCCCAGCATATGTACTACAGCGTTTCCAGCGGCCTCGTTTGAACAGACACGTTAAATGAAACAAATGCATGTGAACGGAAGACTTTTTTGAATACGCATACTGTGCATAAACGCAAACGGTCCCGTGTGAGCGGGGCCTTAGTCTCCAGCTTCTTCCTGTAAGAATCTCTGCCCCTCCTCAAATTGTCTCTCAGCTGATGCTGGATACTCTTCAGCATTGATTTGTCCCCAGACTTAAAAGCTTCCTTTTTCTTATTTAAAAGAGTTTTCAGGTCACTAGTAATCCAGGGTTTATTGTTGGGGAAACAGTTGACAGTTTTAGCCGGTAATATTGTTTGTTCACAGAAGTTGATGTATTCTGTGATGCAGTCAGTCATATTATTGATGTCCTCTCCATGTGGCACACAAAGCACGTCCCAGTCAGTGGTCTCGAAGCAGTCCTGTAGAGCCTCATTAGCCCCTGGAGTCCATTTCCTCACAGTCCTGGTGGATACAGGCTGCCTCTGCACCAGAGCGACATATTTAGGAGCCAAAAAGACGAGGTTGTGGTCAGATCTGCCCAGGGGGGGGAGGGCAGTGGCACAATATGCATTCTTGGTATTTGCATATAGAAGATCCAGAGTATTATTTCCCCTGGTGGGGCATTTCACATACTGAGTGAATGTAGGCAGAGATTTGTCCAGTTTTGCACGGTTAAAATCCCCAGTTATTGTTATGAATGCATTTGGGTGAAGAGTTTGGAGTTTGGCCACAGAGGAGTGAATGACGTCACCAGCCACCTCCGCGTCCGCGTTCGGTGGAATATAGACAGCAACTACGATGACAGAATAAAGTTCTCTAGGTAGATAAAATGGACGTAATCCCACAGCTAGCAGTTCAATGTCCGGGCTACAGAAACGCTCCTTCACAGTAACGGTGCGTCTACACAGCAGCGTTAAAAAAATCTTGAAACGCTTCTGCCCATTCACTTTGAATGGGGTGACGTCACTTTCCCTCACTTTTCGCCGAAATGCATTGTGGGCAGGCGAGCGGAGATTTTCAGGATTTTCAGGATTCAAAGTTGAACAATGTTCA